GGTGAGAGAAGAAGCTAGGCAGCAGAAACCAATTTATTATATCAGCAGCGTGCTGCACGGAGCAGAGCTGAGATACCCTATAGCTGAGAAAGCAGCATTAGCAGTCGTCACTTCAGCCAGGAAATTGAGGTCATATTTTCAGTCACACCCAATTATCGTTCTCACCGACCAACCTCTCAGGCAGATTCTGCAGAAACCAGAGTGCTCTGGAAGACTAATTAAGTGGGCAGTAGAGCTGAGAGAGTTTGAGATAACATTTCAGCAGAGATCGACCATCCGAGCTCAAGCATTAGCAGATTTTATTGTCGAATGCACCCCATGTCCTTCAACCTCTAATCTAGAGCCCAACGAGTGGACCTTATATGTTGATGGGGCATCTAGTAGCAAGGGTTCTGGGGCTGGCGCTCTTTTGATTGGTCCAGAGGGATATCGAAGCGAACATGCCCTGAAGTTCAATTTCGATGCAACAAATAACATGGTTGAATATGAAGCCCTACTACTTGGTTTACAACTAGCATTGGAGTTGAAAATCAGAACAATTCAAGTCTACAGTGACTCCCAGTTGGTGGTAAACCAAATTAACTCAATCTGTGAAGTTGTTGATCCTGTGATGGTAAAGTATGTAGCCTTGGTGGCCGAGTTGAAGTGCAAATTCCAGAAATTCTGTCTGCAAGAGTGCGCGCGCCTTTACACCCTCCCTGAACTCCTGGGCTAGACCATTCACCCAGCTCGCGCTCTGCAAATCAAAGCAGAAGTTCAAAGAAACAGAAGAGAAGAAACAGAATAAGTAAACAGCAGCATTAATTTAATGTACCTCAAGGACGTGCTTCACCACAAAAGCTCCTCCGTACCTCAGAGCCTCCTCTCGCGCGTGGCGTTTGTCTACTTCGGGGAAGGTGTTGTTGATAAACCACCTAGCCCCCATCATGTTCTTCGCCTCGAACAGGCTGCTCTGAGGCACCGCCGGGGTAACAGGGCCCTTTCCCTTACCAGGAGCTCGTACCTCAGCCCCCTTCTCCAACCGTCTGAGCTCAGGGTTCAGCTCAACAGGAGGAGGCTGAGGTACGAACTCAGGCACCCCACTCCCCTTTTCCTCCACCACCTTCTTCTTCTTCTCTAGTGCCCTCCTCTCTTCCCAACCCTTCTTCTTCAGTTGTGGCACATCTTCCCCCGTCTCAGCTGAAGCAGTAGCTACTACCTCCTTCCCAGCTCTCCCCTCATCCACTTGCCTGGTTGAAGTCCTTGACTTCTTCCTTGGCTTCTTGGGATGGCCTTTCCTCCGGCAGTGTTCAAAAACTGGTCCATGTCAGTTGCAAAGCAAGAAACACAATGTTAGTTACAATTCTATGTTATACATTCAACGCTACAGTACATGATAAACAAACCTTCACTCAAAGCGCTTGGCCCATAGAGCTCAGCAGCCTCTATGCATGCTGCGCTGGTGAGGTCCATGATATTCAATTCATCCTCCCTCTTCCTCACCAACTTCTTCACTTCTTCCTCCTCATCCCCATTCAAACTAAACCTATTCTGGTTGGCCCTTTTAGCCTTCTAGGAAGCTAATGCCCTCACCTCGGCATCCCCTTTCCCCCACTCCGTATCATCAACAAAAAAGAATTTTTCCTTCCATCCCTTAATGGATGAAGGACCCGCAGTAAATAAAATCCTACTCTCCTTCTTATCTACCCTAGGGGTGAAATAATACCACCCTTTATCCCTCCTACTCCCTCCCTTCAAAACAAAAAAAATACTTAAACATATTTACAGTTGGCACACTGATCCCCTGAGCTCGGCAATAAACTAAAAAACCTATTATTACCCTCATTGCGTTGGGGACCAACTGTGTTAACCCTATGTTGTAATCTAACAGTAAACCTATTAACAACTCGGGAATTGGAAACTTAAGCCTAGCATACAAATAATGGGAGTATACGGGCATCCAATGATCCCGAGGAGCAGAACATGCCTTCTCCTCTACCCCAGCTGGCCTAACTAACACCCGAGAAGAGATCTCGTACGTTTCTACTAAGTGGCACAGGTCATCCCTGGTCCTTAGTTCAGATCGGTACTGCTTTACCTCTTCCACTATCTCTGCACTCCCATCATAACCTCTCTCCCCATTACCTTCTACTTCTACCACAGTGATGGGTATGTTATCCCCCTCAACCCCTACCACCTCGTTCCCCCTAACCTCCACCACCTCATCTCCTCTCACCCTTTCTACTGTTCTCTCCGAACTAGATGGAGATGGACTACTCTCTGTGTCCATACTCCCATAGTCCAAGGGCTCCACCTCACTCCCTACTACACTTCCTGTCATTTCTGAAGACATTTTCTCAAACTCTGCATGAAGTAGGGGGGAGGAATGAAGTCAGAACTCAAAAAATATATATATATATAATAACAATAACCCCCTTCATTACACATTCAAAACCCTTCTCATCTCTAACCCTAACGTCCTTCGGAGGACCCTAAATCAATCACAAAAAGGGAGAAAGAAGAAAGACACTTCAATTAACTCAAAAATCAGAAGTTCGCCTACAGTACCTTATTTCGGTTTCGAAAGATTTGATGTAGAGATCCCCAGTTGTTACCGTAGTTTACGAACA